TCTACTTTTTTAAGCTGAACTCTCACAAAAAAGTACCTTTGATTCAGTCAAAGTCAATGAATTTTAATTCGATGTTTTATTTACTTTAGACAAAGTTGATGTGATGAATTCATTAGAATGTCCATAATGAAAGAACCGTTGTGTCTTCGAGCCATTAGAGCATTTAAGGGAGCTTGTTGGTGGAAATTCTCATCTTAGGGAATAAGGACAGAGAGTGGTAGAAAATGATAGCATAAAACATTGTACCGGCATCAGGGTCATTATTTCATACAAAGGAGGCTCCATCGGCATGTTTGTAGAAGAGATCCAATTTCTCACTCTGATGTCACCTAAAGGCCACATCTTATGTGCGTTTCTTTGCTTTCCTCATTCTCACACTAATACATATTTTTCTTTCTCATATGACCTTAGAGAACCCTCGTTAGCCATATCTATGCATCCAAAAATATGCACATATTGAGTCATTTCACGCAGGCTCTATTCGCAAACTACCATTTTGCTCCAATTTTGCGGCGAAATATGATGTAGCATAAAAAAGTGTTGTAAACTTAAATTAGTGAGTATAAGCATCGTAATGCAATTTGTACCCTCCGAGCAACAATTTTGCATTTAAGGCAACGAATATTACTTAGGGCTTATTGTAGCTCAATAGGAATTTCTCAAGAGGTTGAGATGCATTTCCGTACTTATGATCAGTTGATTAATGATGCATAGTTGTTTTGAAATCAAGTTTGGAACGTGATGGAGGAATAACAGAGAGAGAGGGAAAGGATGTATAAAAGGAGAGAGAGAGAGTTTTATAGAATTCCTCCTCATAGAAAAGGCATAAATGTAGGCACCCTGTGGCAGCAGACCAATCAGGTTAGAACTATAGTTTGCTTTCTAAAATTAATCCGACGCCGTTTTCGCAGCATGATAGCAGAAGGTTTCATATGCGGCGGCTATGCTAGCTTTCAATATCAGACCGTGGACTTGTTACAATCCTAGACGTTTCGCCAGCATTGTGGTCTGTCTCTTCAGAGAGTCGTGACAAACCATAATCTTTCAGTAGAAAATGCGTCTAGGAATCGATTTAACTCGTCGTTTTGATGCGTTTTACTTTGCTGCAATGACTACAAAGGCGCACTTATGATGCCCATCTACCACGATATCTGCAAAAGGTCTGAGAATGTACTCAGTCCACGCTCCGACATTACATTTAAAAGTGGTTTGGCATCTTTTTCGCGAATTTTTCATATTGTCAGGGGAATCTAAATGAATACCCACTGTCCGGAGTCCATATTATCCATGATACTTTCCAGGGACAGGTCGTAGACTTGATAGATTCCCGGGTGTTTCACAGGCATCGTCAGTGAGTCTTACCATTGTTAGCCTCATACTACGATTCGTTAGACCACTTAAAAGAAGGGTTGTAGTACGGTGCTAAGAATGGCAAGGCTTACTGACGACCCCAATTACTATGCCGGCAAAAGGTCTGGGAATATTTCAAGCCCAAGGTCCGACCTTGAAAATGATCATGCATACTATGGACTGCGGGCAAGGTGCGTTCCTCTAGGTGGCAATACGACCAAGTTGTATGAACGAGGTTAACCCACTTCTATATAAAGTACATGCAAAGTACACATAATCTTAGCTTCTACACTTTTGATTATCAGGTCTTACTTTGAAATAGGACGTCAGACAAGGCCTCTGGTTACAGATCACCCTGACAGCACGATCAAGATACGACCGGTAGATCAGACCAAAATCTGGTCAACGCCATCTTGTTCTTCACACCTACTGTATTTTTGCTTTGCTTGCCTGTTAGTCTCTGAAGCTTGAATATCCTTGAAGCCTCCCGTCTCTGTTTCGATTGTAGTTGAGGTTTAGGCTTAGATATAGAACATGGATAGGCTAAGGTATCATGCATAACCTGAGAATTTTGTTCATCTCATCATTAATATAATTAATTTCCGTTCATAAATTGAAAATACTCCAACTGTGATTCTTCACTCTTCGATAGAGACTCCTCGATTGTATCAATGCCCCTGCTATGAAATCCATTTAAATAGTCTATATCCATTCGTCATTAAAGGAGGTCAGGACCCCAAAATCTCACCTTAAATACACTTTTTGTCAAGGGCGGCTTGTTGATACAACGTTCGTCAATGGTGTTTGGCACTGCGAAGTTGATCAACTTGCACAAAAGAAGGCCATCTCGACATCGGTCGTAGAGTAGGCCATCTACTTGCCAGTTGATGGGCAAATGACATTGCAAGTCGGTGTCAGCTGCAAGCATCCGGTTGATCCAGTCCACGTAGGCTCGCTCCTCGGCTGGGCTAACCGAGTGCTTGGCGGGAGCAGTCGAGAAGGGTTGATTCTGACTTTCATACACCTTTTTGACAATGATGAAAGGGTAGAAAATACAAAAAACAAGGCGTATGACAAATGTGTATATCAGTAATATTCTGCATTACTCTCCCAAATATATATGACTATTTTCTTGCTATCCTATGCATTGCCAAGCTTGGTTCGGAGTTAAGCTACCTGCTTCCGTTGATGAGGCATGTTGTGAGATGGCGCATTTGAAGGCAAGTAGGAGAATTGTATTTAATCTACCGGCATGAGCAGGGCATCTTGACTATTGCAAACGAAGCCCGACTACTCATGTTGCATGGCACAAACTCGGCTGACCCAATTTCGATTCCCGAGGTGGTTGTATTAAGGGATGCTAAAATATGGCCATAGTATGCAAGGCAGAATCTCTGTCACTCTGAATTCGTATCAAAGTGTTTGGCGCCCCGCTCCCCAAGTCTGTATTGCTGCGTTGTGGGCAATCTAGAAACCTATAATCTAGTGCTAACAAAAT